ATCATCAGATTAGTTTTTAATTGGCTCACTTGGATTGTGCGTCTTTCCCCCTCTGGTTCCCCTATCTCTTAAATAGATCCCACTTCTGCTTTCATGCATTTAAAAAATCTAAATTTTTATATATATATGAGAGAAAGCATGACATTTGCTTTTCTGGGTCTGGCTTCTTTGGTTTAATATGGTAATCTCCCCTTCCATCCATTTTCTTGCAAATGATATTTCATTTTCCTTTACATCTTAATAAATAAAAGTCCATTGTGTATTATATGCCATTTTTTGTTTTTGTCTGTCCCTATGCTGATGGACATCTAGTCTGGCTCCACATTTGGACTATTTCAAATAGTACAACAATAAATATTGATGTGCAGTCATCTCTGCATTATGCTGACTTGGATTCCTTTGGGCAGATACCTTGTGCTGTGATCTAACTAGATCACAATGGTAGTTTTGTTTTTAGGTTTTTGAGGAACCATACTGAATTCCAAGTGGCAGCATGAATTTATACTCCCACCAACGTGTTTAAGTCTTCCCGTCCCTGAGAGCATTTGTTGTTGGTCTTCTTGCTGATAACTATGGTGATGGGGGTGAGGTAGAGTCTCAGTGTATTTTTAATTTACATTTCTGTGCTGGCTAAGGATATTGAGCATTGTAAATATGTGTGGGGTTTTTGCCATTTTTATTTTTAAGAACTGTCTAGTACATTTGACTATTCTTTGATTTTTGAAAAATATTTGAGTTCGTTATATAGTCTGGATATTAATCTCCTGTCAGATACACAGCTAGCAAAGATTTTTTTCTCTTGTTCTCTTGTTTTCTCCTTACTCAGTAACTGTTCCATTTGTTGTTCAGAGAATTTTTTTCTTGTTTTTCAAGACATGCTTTCTCTGTGTAATAGTCCTGGCTGTCCTGGAACTCTCTGTGTAGACCAGGCTGGCCTTGAGCTCAGAGATCTGCCTGCCTCTGCCTTCCAAAGGCTGGGACTAAAGGTGTGTGCCACCACCACCGGTATTTGTTGTTCAGAGACTTTTAATCTGACTCAGTCAATGGAGATATTTTATTAGCCAATTTATTTTATTAGACAATTAGAAATTGGCCTTAGCCAATTTCATTGTTATGTGAACACCATAGAGTGTACTTATACAAACTTGTGTGGTATAGCCTATTACACACTTCGACTCAATGGTATCAGTTGAAGCTGTTCGTAGAAGCAGAGTAAGCAAAAGGACTTAAGAATAAGAGAAAGTGATAGAATCACGAGATGTTGTAAACACTGGATGTATGAGGCTGCTGCCAGTGTAATTCAGTGTTTATACTTTACAGTGAACGCTATTTGTATGAGTAATATACTAAGAAATGATAGAAAGTATAATATACAGACTACATAAGGCAGTTAACAATCATATTATCATCATCAAGTATTATGTACTATACATCATTATATGTGTTGTTCTTTTATATGATCGCCAGTAGAGTAGGGTTCGGTTGCACCAGCAGTCTGGGAAAAGAGGATGAGCTCGTAAATGGGGCTGAAAAGGAGCAGCTAATGGGGTCAAAGGAAGCAGGATAGTGGTGTTTTGGGAGCCAAAACATGAGAAGACACATGCACCAGCTGTGTCCAGTGTTGCTGAGGATGGACCATTGGACTTCGGGACCTTAATGCAAACAGTTGAGGTGGAGTGGTGGGAACCCTATTCAAGTGGTTAAATAGAAGAACGGGAGACAGGATATATACAGTTCTTGTGAGCTTGGCTACAAAGTGAAAAAAAGAAGCAGACTATTAGTCAACAGGGAGTATGGATTCAAGAAAGATTTTCTTTTGAAACAGGGTCTCTTGTAGCCCAGGGTAGCATCCAACATACTACACAGCTGAGGATAACCTTGAATTCTTGGTTTTCCTGATTCCATCTCTCACATTATGGTATTGCAGACATGATGCCTGGCTCCTCGATTTTAAAAAAAAGATTTACTCATTTTGTATGTGTGAGTGGTTTTGCCTGCCTGCATGTGTGTGTACCATGTGCATGCCTGATGCCCACAGAGGCCAGGAGACAGTATTGGATCCTGCCATCTCAGTGCTGGGAACCGAACCAAGGTCATGTAGGAGAGCAGCGCGTGTTCTTAACCACTGAGCCATTTTTCCAGCCCCTCCTTTCTGTTTTTTGAAAGTGAGAGAGTGAAAGAATACTTGTCTGTTAATGGGGATGATCTAGCACTAATACCTCTAGATGTGCTAGAAAATGACATTTCAGGGGAAAAAAGATAATTGTTTGAACAGTGAGCTTAAATAACAATACATTTTCTAACATTTTAATTTAATCTGAGTAGCATTTTTAGCTAGAACATGCTGTTATTTTAATTAGAAGATCTCTTGAGTCTTATTACTTAAGTGTTCTTATATAAAAAACAGGACTCATTCTTCATTTTACAATGCTCATACAATGATGGAGTTGTAACTCGTAGTTCCTTAAACATTATTTCCAGACGAGGCCTCATTTTTCAACAATCATCTTTCTAAGACCTCTGACATTTGGATCTCGCTTCCCCAAAGCATTTCTTTTTAACCAGAAAGTAAATAGCAGTTGAACTTGTCTTCTAAAAAAAATTCCACAATGGCACTGGGTTTTGATCCTACTTCATGTTCTGGCTTTGTGGGAGCCTAGCCAGTTTGGATGCTCACCTTCCTAGACCAGGATGGAGGGGGGAGGACCTTGGACTTTCCACAGGGCAGGGAACCCTGACTGCTCTTTGGACTGGAGAGGGAGGGGGAGAGGAGTGGGGGGAGGGGGAGAGGAGTGGGGGGATGGGGAAAGGAGTGGGGGGAGGGGGGAGGAGTGGGAGGCTGGGAGGAGGCAGAATTTTTTTTTCTCAATAAAAAAAAAAAGAAAAAAATTCCAACCCCAGGATTCGAAAAATATGTTCAGTGTAGTTACACTTAGCTTCTGTATAGGAAATTACAGGAAAAGCGATAAAGCGTAGCTTTTATTGACCTTATCTTTCTAGGTAGCGCTATTTTTCATATAACTTCCTCCTCGCTAGATAATCTGGGGTCTCTTTGAAAATGTAGTAGACCTAGATTTCATGTAATATGAGAATAAAAGACATGTGTAAATCAGACAGTGTATCCTATTGTAGTACCAAGTGGCTTCTGTTTGAAAAGTTTACTTTTATTGATTTTTGGGAGGGTGTGGTTTTAGGGATCAGGCCCAGGGCCTTGTGCACGTTTCCAAGTCCTCTACCAATGAGCTCTATCCTCGTTCTTGACTTTAAGGGTTATTTGAAACCATAACAACTAAGTAGAATTGTGTTCAACTTTCATTTTCCAGGAGGAAATGGAGGATTGGGGTGAGCTATAGTATAGCTGGCGTCTGATTGTATGTTATAGAAATGATAGGCTTGCATCAGGAAGCTATAAGTAGGAATAAATCACAGCAGCTTAGTCAGGCATTAGAAAGTGCTGCCAGGAATAATTCACAGAAATGGCAGGTTCTTGTATTTAGTATCACACATAGAATAAACTAAGGCCTTATATCTGAATAGGTTCTCTATTTATTCATTCATACCACTTTTAAAAATATTATTGAGCATGTATATTATGTGCCTGTTTGAGGATATAATGCTAAACCTTCATAGAACTTATAGTTTAGAATATTAAAAAAATGGGAATGTCCTCCTTAAGGTCGTGGGGCAGGGTTGGTTGCATAGCTCCGGCAATCCTGGAACTTAGGATCCTCCTGCCTCAGCCTTCCAAGTGCTAGGATTATAGATGTGTGCATTAGCACAGCTGGCCAAGGAGCATGTTTCTGTGTCACTTTTCTCCTTAGGGCTACTTAAATAAATTACCACAGGCCCCAGGTATAAACAACAGAAATTTAGTTCCTTCCTGTCTGGAGTTTCAAGTCTTAGATCAGAGTCTGAAAGGTTTGTTTTTTCTCCTCTGGCCTATGCTCAGCTTTATACTGTGGCCCTACGGGGCCTTTTCTCTGCATATTTAGCCCTTGTGTTTTTTGACATGTTCACATTTCTTCTGCTGCTGCTTCTCCTCCTCCTCCTTCTCCATCCTTTCTCTGTTTTCTTCCTTCTTCCTTTTAGACAGGGTCTCCTGTAGCCCAGGCTAGCTTCAAACTTTTATGTAGTCAAGGATGACCCCGAACTTCTGATCCTCCTGCTTCTTCCTTCTAAGTGCCACCCATGCCCAGCTTTTAAGCAGTGCTGAGCTTGGGAAACCCAGTACTTCCCGCCTACCAGGCAGGTGCTCTACCAGCTGAGCTATATATTCCTACCCCTTCCTATAAAGGTACTGGTGAGATTTGATTAAGTGTGCTTAATGGTTGTCTTAGTTTGGGTTTCTACTGCAGTGAACATAGTGACCACAGCAACTCTTATAAAGGAAAACATTTAATTGGGGCTGGCTTACAGTTTCAGAGGTTCAGTCCATCATGGTGGGACATGGTGGCTCGCAGGCAGACATGGTGCTGGAGAAGGAGCTGAGAGTTCTACATCTTGATCCACAGGCAGTAGAAGGAGATTCTGTCCAGTGGGCGTGGCTTGAGCATATATGAGACCTCAAAGCCCACTTTGCTACTCCAATAAGGCCACAGCACCTAAGAATACCACTCCTTATGGTCCAAGCATTCAAACACATGAGTCTATGGAGCCATACCTATTCAAACCACCACAATGGTCTCTTTTTAGTTTAATCACTTCTTAATTTTGTGTACTTTTGGGAGTCTCTCAGGGTAGCCTAGGATTATGCTAAACTTGAGATTCTCTGACCTCAGCTCCTTGAATCATTGAAGTATGTTGACTACCATCTCTGGCTTCCTTACTCTCTTCATTAAGGGTCTGTTGGCAAATGCAGTCATGCTCTGAGGATAGAGGGGTAAAGGCTTCAACACATACACTTTGGGGAGCATAGTACAGCCTCAAACAATGACCCAGAATGAATAATGAGCTATTGAACTTGTTCCTTCTGCCTATATAAAACATCAGTTTCTTCTTAGTACTATGAAGTATTCCTTCGACAGTCTTCAGTGGAACCCTGTCTTCTGTTTCATGAAGGTGGACACTGGCGTGAGCTCACAGTTCGAACCAATAGCCAAGGACACACAATGGCTATCGTCACTTTTCATCCCCAGGGATTAAGTCAGGTAGGCCTACCAGGAAAAGAAGCCACTTCTGTAGTAACTCTACTATGCTCCTGGGTCTTTTGAAAGTTTTAGAGCGGAGAGCAAAAGCTACTTATCCACAGAATATTTGTGTAGGTTAGCGGGCAGGTTTGAGGATGAAGAGGCGTTGGTAAGAATATAATTTAACCATATTGTTGGCATAATGAAATGACAAAGATTGTGGTTAAGTTACCCAAGGTAATTATTGTACATGGACTCTCAAGTATTTTCACATAGTAGTAGACTCTACCGCATCCAGAAGCGATTCCCATAGAGATTTGCATGTCTAACTTTTCTAATCTAAATACTTTGCACACTCTGCTCATACAGTGGCGAGCCTAACAGTTCTCCTGATTATGCTTTACATTTGTAACGCACTTAGCACTTTCAGACAGTGTTCTGGCTTGCTATCTGTTTCTGTGATAAAAACCATGACAAAAAGTGACTTGAGGAAGAAAGGATTTATTTTACCTTACAGCTCACAGTCTATCTTGACTGGCAGTCAGAGAAATAATTCAAGGCCGGAACCTAGGCGGCAGTAACTGAAGCAGAGGTCATGGAGAAATGCTGCTTACTGGCTTGCTCCCTATCGCTTAGTCAGTTTGCTTTTATTTTGAGATTTAAAAAAATATTTGATGTGTATGAGTATATGCTTGTATGTATATTCACCATGTATATGCCTGTGCCCAGGAAGGTCAGAAGAGGGCTTTGGATCCTCTGAGACTGGAGTTACAGACAGTTGTGAGCCACTGTGTGAGCACTGGAAATCGAACCCAGGTCCTCTGCAATGGCAACAACTGCTTTTAACCACAAAACTTACTCTGCAGCTTTCAGTTTGCTTTCTTATGTACCTGAGTACCACTTTCCCAGGGATGACACTGCCCATAGTGGGCTGGGCTTTCCCACAGCAACCATCAATTGAGAAAATGCCCCTTAGACACGCCCACAGGTTAGTCCTGTGGAGGCAGTTTCTCAACTGAGGCTGCTCATTGCTAAATCACCTCAGCTTGCATCCTGTTCATAAAACAACAAGAGCAGAACCCAGCCAGCCCAGATAATCTCACATGGAAACATCCCTACACGTAGTCAGTTATCTCAACCAGTTTATGAAGTTGTTGCCGTCCTCATTTGATAGAATGCCAAATGGAGGCATAGTCCCATGGAAGGTTAGAGTCAGGAAACTACAAAGCTAGGATTTGACCCTGAATCCTTTGATTCCTGGCCTGGTGTTTAAAATTCTGTAGCTCTGACTTGGTTGTAACCTGTGTCTGTATGCCAAGCTTGTCTATAGTGATTAGCAGTATTAGAATTCTAATATGTTCTGTAGTCAGAAAAAAGGGAAGTTCATTATTTACCATGTTCATTATTTTCCTTTTACATTTAATTGGATGTCAGAGAACAACTTGGCATGAGCCGTTTCTCTCCTTCCATCCTATGGGTCCCAGGGAGTAAACTCAGGGCATTGGGTTTGATGGCTTTTAAAGCCTTACCCCCTTAGCCATCTTGCCAGCCCACCACGTTATTTTTCTTCTGTTTCCTGGTTCATTTCTTCTAGGACTCACATCTTCTGAGGTGATATTTGAGTGGGTGTTTGGGAGAGCAAAAGTGGAGAAGTATGAAGGAATTTGAAAGGTTATTTTCTGTGCACGATGGGACAGGAGCTTAGTTTAGCTTCTTGTTTATAAGAATTACTCACACTTTCTCTGGAGAACTATTAGAGGCTCAAACTAGAGAAAGTGCCAGTTCTATTGTATGAGATTTGTCAAAAGCTGAGAAGCCAAGCCGCGCTTTGACTGAGATGTGAAAATAGCCTGTTGTTGTTGATTTTGCCCTGCAGAACATTGCTTTATGCTAAGTGTTATTTATAATAGAATTTGAGAAATGTGTCTTCTTGTGTGACTGCTTCGGCTGACTATTGTAGCTATCGGCAAGAGAATGTGTCAGGGATGAATCTTTGCTTGACTCACGAGTTCATGTTCTGGGCAGGAGGAACTGTGTGTTCAGAAGTTGACCTTGAAGGACTTTTTCACTAAAGGCCCTGGAGCTGTTTGTGAACTGACTTCACTCTATTTCCAGGAAAGGTATGCCAGCCGGAATGCCTCCTATGGCTGCAGGCTTGCCATAAGCCTGGCTTTGTACTTTGCTGATGGTGGGCTACTGAGAGTGGAGGTGCAGGCTAGTTAGACCTGGCTTTCACACACCAGCCACATCTGGGAGCCCAGGCTAGACTAGAAAAGTTAAGTGGGGTATGGTAGCTTTTAACTTCTCACAATCAAAACAAAGCGAATGTACAATGGGAGTGTGCACATGCACCTTCATCCCTCAAGAATGGAGATCGAGCAGAAGTCTCAGGGCCGTGGTGAGCAAGCTGTGTCTTCCAGCTGAGAGGCTTGGGATGCCCCTTCCAACCAAGCAGTAAGAGGCAGAAAGGTCTGCCATTCTAAAATGCTGTCTTCCTTTATTCTGTCCTAGCACCATGACCCGTTGCAGCCATCAGCAGTCCCCCTACCAGCTCCTGTTTGGGGAACCCCACATCTTTGAAGATCTTCTGGGTTTGAAGATCCGCATCTCTCCAGATGCCTTCTTCCAGATTAATACCTCTGGCGCAGAATTGCTGTACCAGACCATTGGGGAGCTCAGTGGAGTGAACTCCAGTACCATCCTCCTTGACATTTGCTGTGGAACAGGCAAGTGGAGGCTTTAGGAAGAGTCTGTGTGTTGTCTAGCTCTCAAACGCCATCTGCCTATAACTTAGGGCCTTTGTGAGGGTGGCAGGGGAGATAGTGTTGATGGTCTAAATATAACCATGTTGGTTTATGGTCTAAGTATAACCATGTTGGTTTAAAACACAAAAGTCATTTCCTCTTATTTCTTACTTCTCCAGGTGTGATTGGCCTTTCTCTGGCTCAGCGTGCATCCCAGGTCCTTGGCATTGAACTGGTGGAGCAGGCCGTACAGGACGCCAGGTGGACTGCAGCCTTCAATGGTACCTAAATCTGATTCTGGGGAGAAGTAAAGGAAATGTCGTTGAGGGGCTGCAGCTGTAGCTCAGTGGCAGACTGCTTGCTTAGCATGTGTGAGATCCAGAGGTCCATTACCAGCATTGCGAAACCAAACAGAAATGCAGTTGTTTCTAGGCAAAGGGAAACATATTGTATCCCCAGCTTATAGGGAGGCAGAGCGCTAGAGTACCGCACTTGGATTTTGATGTTTTCTAGAAGACGTCTTAATAACTATTTCTTTTTACATTCTATAAAGAGCCCAAGGGAAGTATGAGCCTCGTTTTTTGGAAGGGAAATGGAGTATATAAGAGAAGAACATGCGCTACATTGGACCCTGAGTATCAGAGCCTAATGCAGTAGGTTTCAAATGTAGAATTTTGGCCTGGCATTGCAGTGAACACCTTTACTTCTAGCAATCAGTAGACAGAGGCAGAGTCAGGTGGATTTCTGTGTGTTCAAGGCCAACTTGATCTACATAGGGACTTCAAAGCCATCCAGGGTTACATGGTGAGGCCCTGTTTTAAACAAAATAAAACAAAGCTGCAGTTTTTAAATAGAACCTTTGTTTAAATAAAATGACAAATTGCAATATGGAAAAGAGTTTGTCTTCTTTCCTTTATTCTACTTCCAGACAATTCTTTTATCTATTTATTTTTCTGTGCAGCCCAGGCTAGCCTTGAATGCCTTCTCTCTTTCTTTGCCTAACCCGCGGGTGCTGCAATTACAGACTTGCAGACAGTTTTCGAGACACCAGGTGAAAACTAGTGAGGGAGCAGGACGAGGACTCGAGTGAAGATCAAGGTTTTTGCTGTGGTGGAGATACTTCTTCCATGCCGTGTATCTGGTGGCTTCAGCTGAAAGGCTCATCCAGACTTTCCCAGGGAAAGGGCTTGCAGCAGCTCCAAGCGCATTGCTTTCTGTGCTGTTCAGAGGTCCACTAGAACCAACGGGAATGGCAGGAGCCTGGCTGCTATGTAGTTCGGTAAACCTGAAGCTTCCCATTTGTTGGCTTCAAGTTATGATGTCACATGCTCCTCTCTTCCACAGGTGTCACCAACTGTGAGTTTCATGCTGGTAGAGCAGAGAAGATTTTGCCACAGTTGTTAAAGTCTCAGAAAGATGAGAAGTTAACCGTTGCTGTGGTCAACCCTGCCCGTGCTGGACTGCGTAAGGAGGGAGGGCATCTTGGGTGTTCCTCGCAGTGCCCACCAGTTCTCTGTCTTTATTCCCATCCCAGGCTAAGGGGCTTCCTGTGAGGTAGCCCTGAAGCAGCTTCTCCTCCATTCCTTAGCAGTCCTGCTCAGCATGAACTTTGGAATAATGGACAACGGTGGGTTAAGTACATTAACAAGGTGTTTACTCCTTCAGATTACCAAGTGGTGCAAGCCATTCGGAACTGCAGGGCCATCCACACTCTAGTTTTTGTTTCCTGCAAGCCCCAAGGTGAAAGCACAAGGAACTTCATTGAGTGAGTCTTGGGACTTTTTTTCAATATTATTTTTTCACACGCTGGGGAATATGGCTCATTTGGTAGAATAACTAGTTGTCATGCATGGCACCCTGGGTTTGATATTCAACACTATGTAAACCTGAGCAGGGTGGTAGAGGCAGGAGGATTAGAAGTTCAAGATCATCCTTGGCTACAAAATGAGTGAGGTTGAAGTCAGTGTGGGATAAGCAAGACCCAGTCCCATTTAAAAGGCAAAAACCAAAATTATTTTTTTCGAAACATCAAAGTAATCTATACTTTCTAAGTACAATTTGGAAAGCATATAGAAACATAAAGAGAAAAGAAAAGAGCATACCACTTTATTTTTATTTTTTGTTTTCTTGAGACAAGGTCTCACTATGTAGCTCTAGTCCTACAACCAACTCTGTAGACCAGGCTGGCCTTGAACTCACAGAGATCTGCCTGCCTCTGCCTCTCATTTGCTGGGATTACAGACATATGTCTCTACACTCAGCTCAATATACTAGTTTAAAAATAAATTCTCTTTTTAAAAAGTTATTTGTATGAATCTGAATAAGTTTATGGGCAATACATATTTGTACAAGCCTGTGCTGGCCAGAAGAGGGTATTAGATCTCCTGGAACTGGAGGTCCAGACACTTGTGAGCTGCCATGTGGATGTTCTGAAGCAAACTTAGTCCTTTGTTAGAACAGTTAGTGGTCTTTACTGAACAGCTTCTCCAGTTCCTGCTAATATCACTTTTAAGAATGAATTATAGGAACCAGGCTAGGGGGAGAAAAGCAGATACTCACTTTGAGTACAAAATTTAAAGAGGGTACCAAGAATTTTAATGATCAAAGTAAAATTTTAATATAATATATTAGAAAATCAACCCTCTCAAATCATGAAAGACAAAATTTGTTTTAAAGAATTTAATGCCAGGTATGATGACCTGAGCTTGTAATTCCATCACTAGGGGAGTCAAAAATGGGTGAGTCCTTAGGGCTTGCTGGTCAGCCAGTCTAGCCCAAGCAGTGAGCTCCTGGCCAATGAGAGACCTTATCTCAAAGGAGGTGAATGGCGTTCCTAAAGGTGACACTTGAAGTTACCTTCTGGTCTTGATGCATACACATACATACACACAGGCACACACACACACACACACACACACACACACACACACACACAAATAAATAGGGCACTGGATTTAATTCCCAACCAAAAAACAGCTGATTAGCTTTTGAAAAGATTCTGCATATGAGCAAATATGTGGTATTTGTCTCCTTGGCTTATTTTATGTAACATGATGCCTTCCACTATCATTTTATTGTAGATGTTTGGCTTTATTCTCTTTTAGCTGAATAGTAATCCATGTTTTATTTACACTATTTTCTATATCCATTATCTATTGTTAGAAATCTTGTCTGGGTGTTGAGAATAATGTAGCGAGAAATGGTAATGCAGGTATTTCATTGATAGGCTAATTTAATTCCCTTTGGGCCATTCCAAAAGGTGGTACAAATGGGTTGTATGATAGATTTATTTTTAGTATTCTGAGGACTCTTGCTATTGTATTCCGTTAGTTTTCATCCCACCAACAGTATTTACAAGTTCTCTTTCCTCTGTGTCCTTGTCAGCATGTTATTTTGTGTCTTTTATTTTTGGTAGTGTTTTGGTTTTAGTTAAATTTTAATTAATTTTCAGTGTATGTGGGAGGCAGAGAGTCATGTCTGCCTAAGCTTCTGTGTAGAGGTCAGAAGACAACTTTTGGGACTTGAAGTTGGAGGGGGTGGTAGATGGGGGTAAATATGGAAGGAGTTATGGGGAGGAGGAGGGAGGCTGAATATGAGCAGAATACATTATATGTGTATATGAAATTCTCAGAGAATTAATATAAATATTATATTTAAAAAAGAATTTAAAAAGCCAGGTGTTGTGGTACCTGTTTATAATGCCAGGTCTTAGGCAGAGACAGGAAGATCATTGGTTTGATATCAGCCTAGGCCACATAATGAGATCATATCTCAAAAACTAATATTAAAGACAAAAACCCTGACAGGTGTTGTGCAAGCTTTTAATCTGAGCCTTCAGGAAGGCAGAGGCAGGCAAATCTCTCTTGAGTTTTTGGCCAGTGTGGTCTCCATAGTAAGTTCCAGGCCAGGCAGGAATACATAGTGAGACCTTGTATCAAAAAACATCATTTATCAATGAACTATAAAACAAAATGAAAGATAGGGAAAATAAATGTTATTGTGAAAAAATAGGTAAATAAACCTAGTCAAGAACATAAAAGGGTAAAGTCACAAGAATATGGTCATAAATAAAAGAGCAGAATATCTACAGATATGAAGGATTTATTTTGCTTTTTTTAAAGACAAGGTCTTACTGTGTAGCCCTGTCTACCTAAGAACTTACTGCATAGACCAGTCTGGCCTTGATCTTATGACAGTCCTTCTATTTCTGCCTCTCAAGTGCTGGGGTAGCAGATATATATCAGGGTACTCAGATTTTTTCCAATTATGAGAAAGTACTCCTTAGAGCTTGCTTTAAAAATATCTGAAAATCTACACGAAGTCTGATTTTTTTGGGGGGAGAATACAAATGGCCAAGGTTAGTTCTAAAAATCAAGGTAAATGCTGAACAGTGAGCATGGAAAAGTGAGATGATTGTGTGGTGTGTGGATGTGTAATCCCAGTACTCAGGGGCTAAGCCAGGAGGAAACCCGCAAGTTTAAGATAAAGCTGGGTTACATAGTGACTTAGAGGTCAGCCTGGCATACATAGTGAGACTACTGTCTCATCCAGTGCTTGGGAGGAAAAGCTTCTACCTAAAAAAAAAAAAACATTAGGCTCACTCTCTCCATCTTATTTGCTTGTCTGTTTCTGCACAATTACTCTCCCATTGTTATTGTTTTTGAATACGACATGAAGATGGCATCTCTTCTCAGTGGGTAAAAATGGGCTATTCAGTAAATTATGAGGAGACAGAGACAGAGACCCACACGGGAGCACCGGACAGAAATCTCAAGGTCCAAATCAGGAGCAGAAGGAGACGGAGCACGAGCAAGGAACTCAGGACCACGAGGGGTGCACCCACACACTAAGACAATGGGGATGTTCTATTGGGATCTCACCAAGGCCAGCTGGCCTAGGTCTGAAAAAGCATGGGATAAATCCGGACTAGCTGAACATAGCGGACAATGAGGAATACTGAGAATTCAAGAACAATTGCAGTGGGTTTTTGATCCTACTGCACGTACTGGCTTTGTGGGTGCCTAGGCAGTTTGGATGCTCACCTTACGAGACCTGGATAGAGGTGGGCAGTCCTTGGGCTTCCCACAGGTCAGGGAACCCTGATTGCTCTTCGAGCAGATGAGGGAGGGGGAATTGATCGGGGGAGGGGGAGGGAAATGGGAAGCGGTTGTGGGGACGAGGCAGAAATCCTTAATAAATAAATAAATTTAAAAAAAAATGGGCTATTCAGTAAATTATGATTGACAAGTGTTTAGAGACTGCAACAAGTTGGATTTATATCTAGACTAAATTGTAAATGGGTCAAAGACTACAATGTAAAACATGGGAACCTAGAAATGTACTCTAAGAAACCATAGGATTTCTTTAGAGTTATCCTGTGCTTTCTAACTGAAAATTCAGAAGATATAAGTTAAAAGGCAATCATTTGTTAATATTTTGTTTAGCATGCAAAGAAATTGGTTTCGTTGTCACTTTAAAGACTATTTTGCTTTTCACATTATTTATCAGGGGGAGGGGCGCTTGTGTGAGTTAGTTCTCTCCTTCCACCCTCTGCATCCTGAGAAGCTGACTCTGGTCATCAGACTTTGCAGCTGACCCATCTCAGCAGCCCACATTGATCGCTCATCCATTTATTTCGTTGTGCCACTTTCTTATGTGTGTCATGTGCCTTGCTTATATGCACTCCCCCGTTCATTTTATTTCATTATGACCGTCCCCTTCCTCAACATTGTCCCCATTCTGTCTATTCCCCCCCCCACGTCCACAGACATACACACACATAGACACACACACACACACAAAATCGTGATATGTGTTTTCCTGACTCTGGCTTATTTCACTTAACGATAATTTCAGTTCCATCCGTTTCCTTGTGAATGTCATAATTATTTTTGGCTTTAGAGATGAATCAGAACTCCATTTGCATCAGGACCACACTTGTGTGTGCGTGTGTGAAAGCCAGAGGTCACCACTGAGTGTGTTCCTCTTTCACTTTCCAGCTTACTTTGTCTCTTTTCTGTGTAGATGTATTCATGTGTGGAGGCCAAATGACAGCATAGAGGAGTTGCTTCTCTCCTACCATGTGGATTTGGGGTTCAAATTCAGGTCATCAGGCTTGGCGGCAAGCGCCGTTATCCACTGAGCCAGCTCACTGGCCCTCCATCTTTCCTGAGACAGGGTTACTGAACCTGAAACTTGTCATTTAAGCTAGACTGACTAGTCAGTGAGCCCCTGATGTCTGCCTTTCTCTATCCCCTAACCCTCAGCACTGTTACAGACCTGTGCTGTCACTAAGCTCTTGCATGGGTGCTGTGAATGGAAACATAGGTCCTCATAGCTGCTTGACAAGCACTTTGTCTGTTGAATTATCTCCCCAGCCCTACATTGCATTTTAAACTATTTTTTTCATACACATCTAGACTATTTCTACTCCATAGCTGTTGTGAATAAGGCTGCTGTAAGCATGGGTACACGTGTCTCTGCTGACTGGGTCCTTTAGGTATATATCCAGGAGTGCTAGAGCTGTGTCATATGCTAATTCTGTTTTTAATTTTGTTGAGAAACTTCCACATTGATTTCCACAGTTGCTTTACCAAGTTATACTCCTACTTGCAGTGAATTTGTTGTCATTTGTTTCTTTGATGTTAGTTATTATGACTGGAGTAAGATAGAATCTTAGAGCAGTTTAAAATTTCTATTTCCCTAATGGCAATGATGTTGAACACTTTTAAAAATACTTATTGGCTATTTATATTTCTTATTTTT